ATCTTACTGCTTTATTGGGTCCAAAAGCTGATGCTCACAGACCACACAGAACCATATTGGGAAAGTTAAAAGGTTATAATACAAATTAATAGCAGAGTGCAGTCAGGACAGCTTCCAAAATGTGCTCACAGGCACCTCATCCTTGAGTCTTGCACCTTATGGTCAGTGTTCCAAAGTTCTCAGTCTTGCCAATATTGGCTTCTTCCCATTCCTCAGTTGTCCAACAAACTTGGGCAAAGGCTTTTAGCTTAGCTATTGTTCTGTCCGTGGAAGGTAGAAGTCAGCTCCATTTCATCTTAGGTCTCTCTAGTCCTCTGCTTCAGTGATGGCTGCTACTGCCATCTGTGTAATTAGAGCAAAAATTTCTGGACCTGAGGATGTGTTATATTCTCTTGCTTCTTCAGTGCGGGGAAGATCTCCTCTCTCTGTTGTTGGATGTACTCAATTTAATGGTGAGGCTAGCCAATCCCCTTGTGGATAGGCTAACATACCTATTTACATATTCCTGCCTATCCACATGGCAAAATCAAATTCAGTGGGGAGGAAAGCCATCTTGAATAATAAACTCTACAGAGAAGAAGGGACAGCGCAGGAGGGGAAGACCCTCTATGAGATGGATTGATTCGGTGACTGGGGTAATCGGGATGGGTGTGTCAGAGGCGGTGCGGTTGGCGCAGGATAGAGCAGGGTTTAGAGCTGTTGTGCATAGGGTCGCTATGAGTCGGAAACGACTCGATGGCACATAACAACAACAACAACACAGAGAAGAAGACTCTCAATGAGATGCATTGACATAGTTACTGCAGCAATGGACTCCAATGATGAGGATGGCACAGGATAGTACAGGGAACAAATGTGTTGTTCATAGAGTCAGCAGCACCTAACAACAACAACAACTTAATCCCAGAGCAATAGTTTCTTTGACTTCCTGTCATCTTTAATAGGGAGCTTTGGTGGACTAGTGGTAAGAAGCTGTGATACCAACCAAAAGTCACACTGTTTGAATCTACCAGATGCTCTGTGAGATAAAGATGGGCACTCTCCTCCTGTGTGATTTATAACTTACTGCTTCAGAATACCGACCATAGGGTCAGCTGACTCGATTGAGATAACAACATGCTCTTTAATGTCTATGCTACTCAAATGTATTTATATAATGTTACGTTATTTCTTGTTTATTCTAATTTTACATGTCTATTGATTTTCTTCTTGATGATTTTCTTGTTCCTCTACTAAATTGTCTTTGGGCATGTGGCTAGGAAGGACCGATCCTTGGAGAAGGACATCATGCACAGAAGGGTAGAGGGACAGCACAGGCGAGGAAGATCCCAAATGAGATGGACTGATAAAGTAACTACGGCAATGGGGGTAGACGTGTAGCAGTCAGTCAGACTGGCTCAGGACAGGACAGGCTTCGGAGCTGTTGTATATAGGGTTGCTGTGCATTGTAGGCCATTTGACAGCACATAACAACAACTACTACTAAATTGTAAGCTATTTGAAAGCTAAGATACTGGGTTATACTTTTTCATACATATGTGTGTGTATGTCTTCAGTGATTTTTAAAATTTTTTTTTAAGTGTGTGTATGTGTGTGTGTGTGTGTGTACACCTCCAAATTGGATCTGATTAGTACAGGAGGAGATTGTCCCTCCTTCTCCAGCAGAACATGTGGTGAATTTAAACTGCTCACCTCTGGGATTGCAGTGCAGCTTCTTGCCACTAGGCTACCAGAGCTTGCCAAATTTTTTAAAATTTTAATTGAGATTTTAG